CAAGGTCTTTGTAAGAATGTTCTGCCCTGGGCAGCTAGGTGACGCAGTGAATAGAGCACCGGCCCTGAAATCAGGAGTACCTGAGTTCAAATCCAGTTTCAGACCAAACACTTGACACTTACTAGCTATGTGACCCTGGGCAAGTCACTTAACCCCAACCGCCTTAAAAAAAAAGAGAGAGAAGAATGTTCTGCCCTTCAGAGTACTACTAATTAGAATGGAAGCTGGATCTTTTGTATGAGGTACTAGGTGATTAGCTCAGCAACATGCCAAGTCCTGTCTACTTTAATATTCATTGATATCACTGATGTGTGTATTCCCTGGGGTAGGGAAATGAGGGAAACAGGACACAGGTACTAGAGAGAAGCAGTAGTGCCGTGGTGAGTGATAGAACAAAGGAGGGAAGAGATGGCGCTACTCTCTGAATAGCCTCTAGGACACGGGGGTTATGTTGCCCTTCAGGAGGAAATGGACCAGAAAAGTTAGAGGGTATAGAATGATGATTTTGTCTCTCTGAGGAATAACAATGTAGATGTTGTAAATTTCCATCAGTAGGCTCGGCAGCTAGGTGGCACAGTAAATAAAGCATCAGGCTTGGAATCAGGAAGACTCATCTTCATGAGTTCAAATCCCGCCTCAGACATTTACTAGCTGTGTGACCCTGGGCAAGTCACTGAACCTTGTTTAGCTCAGTTTCCTCATCTATAAAATGAGCTGGAGAAGGAAATGGCAAACCATTCCAATATCTTTGCCAAGAAAACCCCAAATGGGGTCACAAAGACTCTGAAATGACTCGACAATATCAGTAGGCATTTTATTAAGTGCCAGGTACTGTGCTAGGCTCTGGAGATACAAAGACAGAAGTAAAACAATTCCTGCCCTCAAGAGTTTACGTTCTCTTGGGAACAATATTTCATAAAGCCTTCTCATCCCATCCCTTAATCATATACTCTTATCATTTCTTCTCAAGTTATTCCTCTTATCCACAGAACTGTCCCACTTCCTTTTCCCAGCCTCATGATTTCCCAAAAAGATACCTGATAGGCTATTTCTTGCACCTAGGTCACCACTGGAAATACTCTATGTGGTTGTGATCTTGGAACACCACAAATGATTTCTGAAGAATCAAGGTTATGGGTGACCCACCTTCACAAAAGAGATAGGGAAGGATGGTGAACACCTCCCAGCTCCCTTTCCATTCACATAGTCATAGTCACCAGGACAGGACTTTCAGACCTCATGTATAACCTACTGGGGCAGGTAGGTGGCACAGTGGATAGAGTGCCAAGTGTGAAGTCAAGAAGACCTAAGCTCAAATCTGCCCTCAGACACTAGCTGTGTGGCCCTGAGTAAGTCGCTTAATCCTGTTTACCTCAGTTTCCTTACCTGTAAAATGATCTGGAAAAGGAAATGGCAAACCCATTGCCAAAAAAAAACCCCAAATGAGGTCATGAAATGACTGAACAATAATACACACACACACACACACACACACACACACACACACACACGAGCTGCAGAAGGAAATGGCAAACCATTATCTTTGCCAAGAAAACCCCAAATGGGGTCATGAAGAGTCAGACACAACTGAAACGACTGAACAACAACAATACCCTACTGGAGGTACTAGTGTCCCTGAAGCTCCTCATGTCAGGTTCAGCTGCCCAGCTGCGGCAATGGGAAAGGGAAGCCCAAACCGTCCCCTCTCTCTGCCCAATCTTTTTTTAGCTGCTCAATCTTCTTGTGAACTGTTTCTTAAGAATGGATCCGTCTCTGATTTCCTCTGTGCTAGGTCAATTCTATCCTTGTCATTTGAAATCTCACCTTACTTTGGCTGGCTTTCCTGACTGCACCACCTCAGTTTCATTCACACTGTCAGCTCCTGATGTCTGTCCCTGAATGCTACTTTCACAGGCTTAGAATGCGCTGGGATGCAGATAGGTGTGTGACATTCAGAGGCTATCTGCTAAGTCAAATCAGTCTAGAGCCTCGAGGCTGCAGGTTCTCCACCCCTGGTCTTGTCCTTTCTAAGTTCTTTAAGGAAAGGGATCACTCTGCACTCTCATTAGCGTCACTGTGTGAACACCTTGTGCCATGCTCAGTAAATATTTGCCCTTACCCAGGGAGGAGCTCAACAAATATTTGGTGATTGATGGATCCATCTTGTTTGCTGATTTAGGGCCTCTGTTATTTTTCAGAGAGACAAAGTAATGTTTCTAAGTATTCCAATTTGCTGGCCTATCTCCTCCTGAAGGGCAGTCTGACCTCTGTGCCCAAGAGGTCATTCAGAGAGCAGTACCTGTCTTCTCTTTCCTTCGCTCTATTAGTCACTATGGCAATGTTGCTACCCTCTCTAGTACCTGTGTCCTCTTTCCTCTGTTTCCCTCCCCATCCCTACCTTTACCCCAACCCTTACAGACCACTCTTACTGCCATCTGGTTGTTTCAACAGGATAATCCACCAGCAATCAACATTCATATATTAAGAACTTACTATTTGCTGTGTTAAGTACTTGGAGATGGAAAAAAAAAACTAAAACAGTTCCTGCCAGGTATGGACAACAGCTACATTAATTGGTGAAACTATGGATTTGTTGAACCGTTTTGGAAAGCAATTTGGAACTGTGCCCCACATTGACTGAGCTATGTATACTCTTTGACCCACCTATACTACTGCTAGGCGTAGATCTCAAAGAGATTAAAGGAGGAAAAGGACCCACGTGTTCAAGAATATTTATTTGTATATATATTTTTGTATGTTTTGTCCATTTATATGTAGTATCAAAGAACTAGAAACTCCAGGGAATGCCCATCAATTGGGGAATGACTGAACAAATTATGGTATATGAATGTAATAAAATGCTATTGTGCTATAAGAAATGATGAAAGGGATGGTTTCAGTGAAACCTGGGAAGATTTGTAAGGACTGATGCAGAGTGCAATGAGTCTAGAGCCAGGCGAACAATTTACACAATAACAACACTGTAAAGACCAACAATTTTGAAATACTTAAGAATTCCGATTAATTCAATGACTAACCACAATTCCAGAGGACTCACGCTGCTACCCACTTCCTGAAAGAGAGTTTATGGATTAAGGAAAAAAAGGTGTTCAACAATGTCAAATGCTTCAAAGAGATCAAGAAGGATGGAGATTGAGAAAAGGCCATTAGATTTGACAATTAAGAGATAAATGGTAACTTTGGAGAGAGCAATTTCTGTTGAATGATGAAGTCAGAATGCAAATTGCAGAGGGCTTGGAAGAGTGAGAACAGAGGAAATGAAGTATAGATATGTTTTTCTACGAATTTAGTGAAGAAGGGGAGAGATTTGGAACAACAGCTTGCGGAAGTGATAAACTCAAGGGAAGGTTTTTAAGGAGGAGGGAAAACATTGGACATATTTTTAAGAAGCAGGGAAAACCAGTAGATAGGGAGAGATTGAAGATTGGAGGGAGAAGGAGGATGATAGTGGGGGGCAACTTGTCAGAGAAGACAGGAGATGATGGGATTGAGGGCATATGTATAGAAGGACTGGCCTTGGAAAGGTGAGGGGCTATCTCTATAAAGGAGAGGAGAAAGTAGTGGGATGATGTAAGGGAGAACTGAGATGAGGAGAAGGAGGAGAAAGAGGAGGAGAAGAAAAGGAGCTTGAGATGAATGACTTCAAATTTTTTTTTTGTGAAGTATGAGATGAGGTCCGCAGTCCAGACAATGGAGGAAGGGGATGCTGTGGTATGTTTAAGAAGAAAATAGATTTGTAAGAGCCGCTGTGGTGAGTGGGATAGAGCATCAGTTAAGGAGGAATATAAATAAGCTTCAGTGAAATCCTAGGTGAGATTAGATAAACATAAATCTGTAGTGAATCCAGTAAGCATAGTTGTGTGACTTCTTTCAGCCCCCTTCAGCAGTTCCTGAATAGGAGCAAAAGAAGTGGTGGATGGTGGGAGTAATCCAGGTGTGGGGTTTGGCAAGGTATGAGTTGTGTTAAGACAACAGGACAAGAAAGAAAAGCATTTGAGAATAGACAGGCTGTGTAAAGTTGAACTGCTTCACCAAGGGTTCAAGATTTGGAAGGTATCACTAGAGTAGAAATGATCACTTTGGAAAATACCAAGGAGTGAGGATTATTGGGAAAATGAAGAATAGGGTTAGGAGTAGTAAACCACATGGGGAGATGGAATGATAAAAGGTGATCAGATAACAGAATTTTGAGGTTCCTGAATATGGAGATGGAACACTTGTGGGTGATTGCATGATCAAAGGCCATTCCCCCTACTTCAGTCCTAGACCTCTTATTTCCCATAAACTGACTTGGAATGGGTGGGTGGGACTCTTATGGCCTTCCCTTTTTCTCTCGGTTCTATATTTTCACTTCCCAAGGGGAACCTGGCCTCTCATAGAATCACAGTGCTAGAATGACCTCCGAGGTCATCTGGTCTAGTAATTTTTATCCTTTCTTGTGTCATGGACCCCCGTGGCAGTCTGGTGAAGCCTGCTAATCCCTGCTCAGAATAGTATTTTGTTAACCACCATTCATAACAGAAGGAAATACCAAATTTCAGTTAGAGGTTAGAGCAAGGGTGTGGAACCTCTGGCCTCGAGGCCACATGTGGCCCTCTAAGTCCTCAAGTGTGGCTTCGAACTTCAGTTTGGATTCAGTCAAAGGGCCACACTTGAGGACCAAGAGGGTCACATGTGGCCCTGAGGCCATAAGTTCCCCACCCCGGGTTAGAGTATTTTTTCCCAATCCAAGTCCATGGGCCCCTGAAAATGTATCCATGGGTCTATGGACCCTAGATTAAGAGCCTGTAATCTAACCCACTCATTTTACAGATAAGGAAACAAAGAGGGATAGAAGTTGTGGCCTGCCCAAGATTGCACAGCTCAGAAGTGGGAAAGTCAGGATTTGAACCCAGATCCTCTAACTCTCAAGTCCATTGTTCTTTTCCCCATACTGCACCACCACTCACTAAGCTGTGTGCCTGTTTCTCTTCTTCCAGACAGTAGTGACAGTGAACTGGAGCTCTCTGCTGTTCGCCACCAGCCCGAGGGGTTAGACCAACTCCAGGCTCAGACCAAGTTTACCAAGAAGGAGCTGCAGTCTTTGTATAGAGGATTCAAGAATGTGAGTATCTCCTGGGTTGTGGTGGGGAAGGAAGATAGCCCATCATAGTCTGTATCTCTAGATCTCCAGGGGTGGGATGTGGATCTGAGGATAGAGGATGACTCTCTCTACAGTAACCTCTGAGTTGAGACAAGAAAGGGCTATGAAGAGCTCAGGATGCAAGAAGTCAGAGTTGAATTTAGCACGTGCTGTAACCATGTCTAGAGTTTTTGTTGCCATTGGCTGCAACACAATCACTTCCCCCTCACTTCTAACATTGTTGCATTGAGTTAGATGGTGTGTGGAGGGCCATCTCCCCTTCCCATGGCCCAAGTCTTTTCTTAGCTATAGAACTAGGGATGATTGGGAGGACAAAGCAATTTGGGAAGGGAAGACCAACCATGGCACCACCATTTGTCCCCCTGCCCCACAGTCGTTTCCTCAGAGCTGAATGAAATGAGTTTCATGGAGGGCCAAGAGGTTATTACAGAAAGAGAAAAAGAAAGGGAAGAAAAGAAGGTGGTATATGATGAGACACCATATAAAAGGATTAGGCATGATAGGGTGGTCTGGGACAACAAAGTCTGGAGAATTGCCACTCACTTTCCTGGGGTTTGGGGAGTGGGGGCTGTGGACCAGGCTGCTAAGAAGGGTGACTCTTTGCTGCAGGAATGTCCCACTGGCTTGGTAGATGAAGAGACCTTCAAACTCATCTACTCCCAGTTCTTCCCTCAGGGAGGTAAGTTTTCCATTTGTGAACCAGTCATTTTCCCTATCAAGGAAGGAAGATTGACATCGTTAGCTCCTCCCCCGTTTCCATTCCCCTAGGTGCTAAAGGGCCATTCATACTTCAGTTTCATGTTGTCTCCCAGGTTAGCAGCAAGGAAGCTGGGCAAGTTCACCCCTTCATCCTTACCTACCCTTGACATCTGCAGCGAGGGCTGACTGAGGATCGAGGGCATATTCTGGGGCCAGTGCTGACCTGTTGGCACATCTGTCACTGGTGCCATCTAATAGCTACCCCCTCCATGTGCGGCTCTCCCAATGTAGGCATCCATGGAGGTGATAGAAATGTTGTAGCTGTCAGTTTTGAAGCACTCTGGTACCACATGAGACCATGCCTGAGACCAGAGTCCTGCTCCCCTCTCTCCAGAGGGATCTAAATTCTTCCTGCCATCATGCATCGTGCTCCAGGCTGTGAAGCATCCCTTCCCCTGGGCGTGCCCAACACGACTATTCCTGGTGGGAGCAAGGCGTGGGGGTGGGAGGCCTCTCAGCAGGTCCCCGGCACTCAACACCAGCCCTCTTCCTCTGTCTGTCCCTGCAGATGCTACCACATATGCACATTTCCTCTTCAATGCCTTTGATGCAGATGGGAATGGGGCCATTCACTTTGAGGTAGGTCCCTTGTTCCTGCTTTGCTGCCCTGGCAGCCACTCTAGAGGGATTTCTGGTCCTGCTCCTCCCCACTTGGCTTCCTTCTTCTCTCTTGTGAAAGAAGGCAGCTAATTCTATGTTGCCTCTCCCCTCAAGAGACATTCCTTGGAGTCCCACTGACTAAGATATCATCCCTGCAAGAGTTGGTCACTTCCAAGGTAGCATGTTGGATAGTTGATAGCTCAGTCTTAGAGTCAGAAATGTCATCTCAGACACTTGGTGGCCAGGCACTATACTAAGGATTAGGGATATAAAGACAAAGGTGAAATAGCCTCTGCCCTCAAGGAACTTACATTCTACTGGCCCAAGGACTTAAGCTCAGGGAGGAGCCTCAGTTTCCTCATCTGTAAAATGGGATAGTAATAGCTTATACCACTAAGAAACTCAGTGACTTAGTAAGTAGAGTGCTGGGCCTGGAGTCAGGAAGACCTAAGTTCAAATCCAGCCCCAGACACTTATTAGCTCTGTGATCCTGGGCAAGTCACTAAATCTCTGTCTGCCTCAGTTTCCTCAACTGTAAAATGGGGATAATAATAGCATTCGCCTTCCAGGGTTGTTGCAAAGATCAAATGAGATATTTGTAAAGTGCCTAACACAGTGCCTGAAACATAGTAGGTGCTTAATAAATGCTTGTTTCCTTCCCTCTTCCCCTCCTAATAACTCCCTGACAAGGTTTTTTGTGAAGAATGTGTTCTGCAAACCTTAAAGCACTACAATTATCCCTTCCCCCTCACAACTTTCGCCATTATAGTTTTGATATATCGTGTGTCGGCATAAAAAATTAAATAGGAATTTTGGGGGGAGTTTTGTGGAAGCCACAGATGCCACATGAAGGCCAGCAGATAACACAGAATATGTTTAGAAACTCAGGAATGCATAAAATATATGTATAGTATTATATAATATCAACATATTTTATCTTTTAATACTATAATAATTCAGATTTCTTCTCTGGTATGGAGGGAGGACCAAAATATTTTACATGGATTTTCCAGATCATGGGGGCTCTGCACCCCTAACCCCAGTGATGTGGAAGGGATAATTGTATATTAACATATTGTTGGCCGCCTTGGCCAATCCAAGGCAGCTCGGGTAGAGCTGGTCTCAGAGTCAGCCCAAGTCCTTACCATATCTTTTTTCACCTCAAAAAGCACACATTTTTTTTTGTCTGATTATATTAAGATTTTCACTTAAAGAATTTATTCTCCATGGCTTGAGTCCCACTGTTTGACCTTGAGTAATTGTCTGAACCTCTTAGCTCCACATCACTAAGATGATAAATTACAGAGAAGGTTCTGATTTTCCATAATGAAGGAAATTTCTCACTCAGAGTTTCCTGCACAAAAGAAACCAAAGGTTTGGTTAAAAAAAAAAAGCCTTTGATTTTCCAGAGACTGGAAGGTCAAGAAGCTTGTAAGCCTCTGGTATACCAAACACTTACTGTATCTTAGTGTAGAGAGGGGCAGCCCAGCCACAGTGATCACAATGGGTCTACTGAGTCAGATCAGACCATCCTAGGGCTGAGAAGTCACCCAGGCCAGCATCTCTCAACTGTCAGCTGAAGCACATTCTTCTTCATCTACAAAAAATTTAAAACCAAAGGCCCAAACTTTGTTTTCACGCTTAAAAAAATAAACTAAAAAAAAAAAGCAAACAAACCCTAAAGCCTCCTGTTCACCCATCTCCTTGTGCCTCCTTCCTTCTGAAAGCCCCCTCCTTTATCCTCGCTCCCTGAGCTGGGGCTGGGGAGGCAGAGCAGCCCAAGGCAGAGAGTCTAAATATTTCACACAATATAAATTGGTTGACAAACACTGATTTATCTACCTGCCTGCCTTTGGATAGCGTCATATCTAATCTATTTAAAAGTATAATTATCTATCTGTAGATAACTATAGTCTGTCCATCTCTCTGCCTCCATCTGTCTCTGTTTGTCTTTCTCTCTCTCTTTGTCTCTCTCTCTCTCTGACTCTGTGATTTAGTGCAGGGGTCAGCAAACTTTGACCAGTGGAGCCAAATCTACACCACCCCCTCCCTCTCTTGTTTTTGTATATCCCAAGTTAAGAATGTTTTTTATATTTTAAAATAAAGTTTTGTTTACAAATGTAAAACAGTGTAAAAACCCATTCTTAGCCAGAAGACCCTACAAAAACAGACTGCATGCACTGGATTTAGCCCTCAGGCTTTAGTTTGTTGACCCTTGATTTACTGTATAGAGAGCTGGCCTCAGAGCCAGAAGGACCTGGGTTCAAGTCCTGTCTCTGACATGTACTCTCTGTGTGATCCCCTGGGAAAGTCACTTAACCTCAGTGCCCAAGGCAACTCTTAATTTTCGTAGAATGTGCTGACCTGCTTTGGTGGATGAAGTTTCTTCATTTTTGTTGTTCAGTTGTTTCAGTCATGTCTGACTCTTTGTGACCCCATTTGGGGTTTTCTTGGCAAAGATACTACAAAAGTTCGCCATTTCCTTCTCTAGCTCATTTTACAGATGAGGTAACTGAGGTAAACAGGGTTAAGTGACTTGCCTAGCAGGGTCACACAATTAGTAAGTGTCTGAGGCAGGATTTGAACTCAGGTCTTCTTGACCCAGGCCCAGAACTCTATCTGCTGTACCGCCTAGCTACCCTTCATTGGGAGTTCTCTATACCAGTAACATCATAGATTTAGAAGCAGCCAAAATTATAGAGATAGATGGTCTAGGCCAGGGGTGGGGAACCTGTGGCCTCTAGGCCACATGTGGCCTTCTAGGTCCTTGGGTGTAGCCTTTTGACTGAGTCCAAGTTTTACAGTACAAATCCTTTTATTAAGGGTATTTCTTCTGTGAAGTTTGGATTCAGTCAAAGGGCCACACTTGAGGACCTAGAAGGCTGCATGTGGTGTCGAGGCCACAAGTTCCCCACTCCTGGTCTAGGCAAACCTCTTCGTATCATAGAATGGGAAACTGAGGTCCAAAAATGTTGTTATATTGTTCTACCGAGAAATCAGCGAGCGAGACCCAGATGTAATTTAAAGTGTGGATTTATTAGAGTGTGGCTGCAAGGGGTATGCACACCCAAATCAAGCAGCCCTGATCAGGGGTTGAGCTAGGGTTTATATGGAAAAGAGCATGGGAAAGAAATGCCAGGAACACTGATGAGGTAATCCAAAGGTGCAGGTGTCTTTGGGGGCTATGGATGGGAAAGTACAGGGAGTATACCGGACAGGGAGGGGGATGGATCTTTGGAGTCTGGCAGGAGGAAGAATCCTTGGGCTGGCCAAGGACACCCCTCTCCCTCTGTCTTGAAGAAAGAATGCTCTGCAACAAGGGAAAGCTTTCTCACAACACAGGAACTTACTAAGGAATTGGGAGGCTTCCAGAGACATGATCTGAGGGCTGGGGCCTGAGCAGCCCAGCTCTGTGTAGCTGTACCAGGGAGAGAGATAAGGGTCATGCTCAGGCCCATGCATGAATAACTGCTAGGCACAGTGTCCTTGGGCTGGGGAGTGGTTGTTAGAGACAGTGTTTCTGAGACTAGGGAGAAATTGGGGCACAAGTACAAGCACAAGCACCCAAGCACCCCATCATTATGGGTTACAGATCACACAAACCAGACCAGGTGTCCTGGTCTCTGGTATAAACATAATTATCTAAAGCAATTATATTGCAAGGTTTCTTATCCATTTGTGTTGGAGGTATGGGCTATGCTGAGCTATGCAAGAGTACATTTCACTATTGTTTAGATTTAGGAGGAAAGAGGTCTGGGGCAAGATTAAGCACCAACTTTTGCTTTCCATGGCTTAAAGGGCCCTACTACCTAAATGGTAAAACAATATGAAGTCACACAGTAAACAGGAGGAAAAGGATTCTCACTGGGAAGACATTTTTCCTTTGGTCTAACTTAAATCCCTCGACCACCAGCCAGTTCTCTTCATTCCTCCATCTCCCTCCCTATCTTGGGGAGTGGAAAGAGGAACTGGGTTGTCTGCTGTTATGGCTATGTTGTTTTGGCCTTTGTCTGAGCAGTCATCTCCCAAAGGCACACAAACCCCAAGGCCTTGCATCAGCTCTGGAGGTGCGGAGATGAACAGGAAGCTGTGTTCCTAAGAAAGGACTTACAGGCCGTACATGTTGTGGGCTCATTCACATACCTTGTGACCTAGAAGCTTATGATAAGAAATGGAATGCAGTCCTCAGCCCATTAGAAATGCTGTCTTTTAAGCCTTGTTGATAAATTTTTAAATTTGCCAGCTCACTCTAACTTGTTTTCATTGGCCTTCACCCAGAGGAAGTATGGAGAAGTAACTCCACAGAAAGAATTCTTTATTTCTCTTTTTTTTATATTTTTATGGATGCCTTTTGTTTTTATATCGTCTTCACTTATAGATATTCCCTTTCCTACTGGCCCCGTGTGAGAAAACAGCTAAGCAAAAATGATGTCAGAGAATTTTCAAAATTCTACATTTCTAGTCTCCCACCTTTCAGGAATCAAAGGATGATATATTTAGAGCTGAAAGGGACATCAGAAGTCATCTAGCCCTAACCAGGGGTATGCTAGAGCCAGCTGGAACCTGCTCACTGGAATAGGTTATTAAATTTTCAGTGTGAGTATTTACACCTTGGAAATCCTCAAATGCCACAAATCAGGGCTCAATTTATTGTTTTTATTGATTATCTAGACTTAAGAAATTATTGATTATCTAGACTTAAGAAAATGATAGAGAAAATGCTAATAAAGAAGATTAAACTTTAAAGTGTGTTGTACATACATTCTTGGAGAACTGGATGTTAAACATTTACTAGAACACCCCTGAGTCTGACCCTCTCATTTTGAGGAAGCGGACCTGGACAGGTTAAGTCTTGCCTGGGATCACATAGCTAGAAAGCAGAAATTAACTCAAGTCCTCTAACTTCAAATCTTCTTTTTATTGGGCCAGCAATGGCTTTTATAATAACAGTTCTTTGCTTCACTTTTTTTGCTCTTTTC